TTTAAAGGCTTCTTCGGCTTCACCTTTGTGTCATAATCCCTCGGCTCTACCTTTGCATCAGTGAGATATTCTGCAATAGTGTTGGGATACGGGTATGATGATTCATCCTGTCGTGCGATCACTGAGATGTTGGCAACATCACAACACCCACATTGATTGGGTACCCAGCCATAATAGATGCCACAAGAACGGCTCGAGGAATAGGAATATGAGTTTTGTTCTGGCACGGGTCCAACCTACTACACACAAATATCTTCCACCCTTAACCTCAAAACTCAGAGTGTTTCACTGAATGGGAACCCCGACGGTAATCCATGGTGGTGGTGGCCCTGGTGGTGCTAGAATATCAGCTAACGAAGGTCGGACTTCGTCCCTCAATGCGCACTTCTCTAAATACTCCTTTGGCTTAACATCCTCAAAGCCAAAGTACGTGTTGAGTGTATGTTGATCAAACCTCACCTTGAGGTTACGTACTTTGGTCACCTTCGTTCCCTTTTTTATATGAGCCACATTGGCATCGAATTTATAGACGAGGTATTCTTTGGCATCCACTATACTCTGGGTGAACCACATCCACACCTTGTGTGCCCTGAACTGTCTCAAAATGGTTGGGTTGTAGCTCTCTAAATCCTTCAACCAAAACTATCGCTTAAGAGTTAGCGACCTCACTGGCCACCACATACGAAAGCTGGTGAAGGCGGCCAGGCTGACAAAACGATCCTCCCAAACTTTTTTTTTATCTTTCAAGGTCGGCAACTGTAGCATCTCCCCCTATGCCATCATCGGGGATATCATGAACTGGTGCAAACACTTGTGTCTCAGGAATGGGTGTAGCCGAAGGCTCAGAAGCCTGACTAGCACTCTCCGGTCCCTCGGAAGTGCTATGAGATGAGGACGGCTCGTACCAAGGCTGGTATCTCCCTTGCAGCCTCGACTGTATGGCCGACTGCTCCAGAATAGAGGCTGAGTTTCCCTCTGACACTTCCCAAGATGGGACATTTGAGCTAGTCTCAGAGAGGTCTATACCATTCCCTCTAGTGATTGTTACTTTCTTTCTTATTGTCTTTGGCTGGCCAAGGGTTAAGGCACTTTTGCCTTGACCCCGAGAAGATTTGCCTCTCCCTTTTAAAGTGTAGCCTCATTCTCTTGATCGAACCATTGTCTGTATCAAACAGAGGTGATTGTTAGTTGCAATTCAATGTTCAAACATACACAAGACACATGCAAGTAAAGGATAAACCAGAGAACACTGTGGGGGTGTGTTGCTAAATCATGCTTGCAGGGAAAGTGATCTACGGTCCGCACAATTTCACTTGCGACCGCAGATGGGGAAACATTTTTGTTGTGTGTCCGCAGAAGTGAAGTGCGGTACGCACAATTTAAGTTCTGCGGTCCGCACAAATAGACTTGTGGCCGCACATTGGAATCTCAAAGTGAGTACTCTCTAATGACAGAAGATGGGTTGTTCTGCAGCCGCGATGAGAATTCTGCGATCTGCGCATTTTAACTTGTGGCCGCAGATCCCTTCTTCACCAAGTTGCCTAAAATTCAACATCTGCAGACCGCACAAATTCAAGATTACAAAAATTACGTACATACCAAACTTTTCTACCTAGGTTATTCAAATTCTAGCACAATTAGACATGACAACATTATAAAATCATGAAATTTCACTAACCCCGTCCCCATAGAGCATGTATCAAGTTAACCAGTTCAGATTTACCCCACATGGACACATAATTGAACTCGAATAACAAATGGCCTAAAAAGAACTAAAAATCTACAAATTAAGCTAAAACAAAAAGTAATGTGAAATTGAAGCATACCAGATGAAATGAGTGTAATGAGTGAACGATCAAAGTGGCTGTGTGTGTGGACAGATGAAATTTTCAAGAAAATTCAACAGAGCACATGTTTTAGTTCAGAGAGTGAAAAGTGTAAATTTTGCCGTGTCCCTCTATTTATACTGATGGTTCGCTAAGGGGAAGTAAGACGAGTGCGGCCACACATTTTCATGTGCGATCCGCACTCTGTTACCTAGTGACCTCATCTCAGCTTTCCATCTGCGGTCCGCACATTGGTCAAAATCCTGTTAGGTTTTGTTGCTTGGTTTGCGGCCACAGATGGAATTCTGCGGTCCACAATTTCTTCTACGACCACAGAAATCCTTTTGCGGACCGCACTTCTTTGCCTCTGCACCCTTTAATGCTTTGTGCTTCGGAGCACTCCTTTTTGGGTTGGATATCATCATGGGAGACCAAGCTTCCAACATTCCTGCAATTTGCAAAGTTTTACTAGTTTCGGAAACATAAATCAATACTTTCGTACTAAAACAAAAGCAAAAAGTTTACTAATAAGTAGTCAAAATCTCCACTTATCATATGTGAAAAGGCTTTCTGCAGTAGCCTCGCTGTATCAGCAGGAACAGCCAAACGTCCTCCTCGGAGATGACAACTGAGCCATGGGGTAGAACTATATTCAATAGGGGAGAAAAATTTGATAACTTTCTCATAAGAAAAGGTAAGGACATGATGAGTTAAACTCACCATGATTTTTGGCCTTCTATCCATATTTCAGGGACATCTCTTTCCACAAGCGGGTTTCGGGCGTAGTAACGTCTAAAATTTTCTGAATCCATTGATCCAAGCCCTCAACCCTAGGGAGAACCCACCGAGTCATTGAGGCAAGTAAAGGAAGAAAAGTTAATAGTGACGAGGAAAAGGATATTTAACAAGAGTAGAAGCAAATTGCATAATTACGAGTGCAGTTCCACAATTCCGGGAAGGAAGGAGCCAAGGCCGGGAAGATTTCACTGGTGGCAACTGAAACAAACCGTTCCATCCACCCACGATCATTATCATCATCCATACTCGATAGCAGTGCATGGTGGCCTCGTTTGCTGAATTTAATCATTCTCTCACGGAAGATCTTGGGGGAATAAAGGTTCATCACATGAGCTAGGAATAACTTCTCCCTTGTTTCTTGGCACAGGCGCCGGAGGTAAGCAATCGTCCTTCACACAGAGGCATTCACTTGCGCCAAACATACTTTGTAGCAGAGGCAAAACTCCGTAATAACGGAGTCAAGCTCTCCACCCAGAGAAAATGTCCCCAAAGTGAAGGGATACATATAGAAGTACGTAAAACCCTTCTTGGGTAAGGTTACCCGCTCCGCCAGATAGGGAGCGATAATGTCTAAATCCTGGCAACGACAATTTTCCTTCACAACAGGAATGCTGGAAAGACGGATGAAAGAAGAATATCTGCTAACGGCCCATGTATGAGGGCTAACAGAATGAAATTTCTCTTCGCAGTCTTTAGTTGTGACAAGACTTCTAGGGATGGTGGTGCTCACTGTAGGAGGAGCGACATCATCGGCTTTGTTTTTGTTCTTTAAAGAACCAGTATTTTTTGAAGACGAAGCCATTGTATGTTATGGAAGAAGGAAAAGCTTTTCTCGTTTGAAGAGAGGTTGAAGAACAGAGAACAAATTGAATGAAGAGAGTTTGAGAGGGTTTGGAGAATTATGGGGTATGAATGAATGAGGTTGATGTGTATAAGTAAAGGTTTAGGCGGCCAAATTCGTGGCCATAATTACCTCGATAACTAGCAATTATGCAGAATCATGGGATGACGCGTGTTCGGGATATTACATGCTGAGAGACGTGCGTCTAATCAACCGTCAGAAGCTTTTTAGAGGGGGTCAGAGAAATTTCTGCCAAAAAGAATATTTTTACCAATTTTCCGGCGACACGAAGTTATGTCAGCAAAAAGCAGGAGGACTATATGTATAGAGTAAAAATATGCTATGCTAAGTAATTGCATAAGAGAAAGACACTGAGAGCCGAAGACAAATAATAACTAAAATCGAAGAAAACTGCTCCATTTGTTATCGGGAAGAATGATGCTCATAAAGATGCAATAAATGCCTACCACTCGATAATATTTAATGGAGAATATTCTGCAGCATTTAGTACATTGCCCGTTATAAAAAATTTATCATTTATGCTTATCGTTACAGATTTTTCAATGGCCCTCATAATTGGCATTAAAGAAGGGTATGATCTTAGGACCTTGTTCCTTAGGTACAACTATAAATAATGAGCTCTGTTATCATTGTAAATGACACAAATTTTCTAGCAAACTTATGCTATAATCTATTCAAATCTCCGTACAATTTTATCTTCTTACTTTTCGATTTGGTTACTGTTGTACCCGGATGCCTTGCTCCTGGATTTACTATTTCTACTATTTCATCTTCATCTCAAGGCTAAGTATTGCGTATTTCTTCAATTCTTTTATTATTTCAGGATCGAACTAATTCACTTGTCTAGAAATCACGTATACATTCAACTATACCGTTTTACGAGTAAACATTGATACATGTCTTTATATACATAATGATCATAGACTAATTTACATTAGTTGTTATCTTTTTTATTTAACCATTAGGTATTCATGTTGAGTTTGTTGTGAACGGGAAAAGAAGGCAAATCTTGTGCCGTCATCGTTGAGTTACTTTGACTTCGGTCAAATTTGATTTGATTGATAAATTTTTTGGAGCAATATTTCCTCTTTAATTTTTATTTTCATTTTTTTAAAAGCCATATGGCATTTTCCAAATGGTCACTAACTGAATTTGAATAACATTTTCCTACTAAACACTTACGAAGAATCTCTACTTTGTTGGCTATAAATTGAGAGGTTCTATCGTAATTTTCTGCAGCAAAAATTTCGAAAATTTCTTCCCTCTTCTCTACATTTTCAAATAAAGTAAGTATCAAGTGTGATTTACTTTAATTTTTAAGTTCGCCAAAGTTTTATAATTTGAAATGACGTAACTTTATTGTTTGTAACTAAAATTTATTTTTATTTATACTTTTACCTGTTTCGAATACAAAAAGATAACTTTCGTTAATATAGAATAATTCCATTTCCCCTCACACCCTAACTGTGGCTACAAGAAAATTATATACTCGATTTCAAATTTTCAATTGATTCGAGAGAAGAGTAGCTTAAAAGGCGTGAAGTATCTAAACACAATTATATAGTGTAAGATTCCAACCACAATGCGCGGTGACACGCGTGATCTCCATCTTCGTCTTCTTCCTTACTCCTCCTCACTCTCTCTTACTTTCCTTTCTTCACTTCACCACTAACCCCTCAAATCTTCTTCTCATTTACACATAACACATATACTCACACACACCAGAATCATCCACCTACCCCCCTCCTCCTACCCCAAGCCATTTCCTCTCGGCTTACATCATTCACTCTGTAAATATAACCTACACATAAAACATACACACACACACACACCTTTATATATAAATATAGTTATACCACTACATGTTCCTTCCATTTTCACCCTTTAAAAAGCTAGATCTTGGGTTCAATGGAGATTTGGAAGGTGGGTTTTGCAGCGATGGTGGTGGGGTTAACTATGGTGGTTGAATGTGGGGTGGTAGCGGCGGATATGTTGTATTCCTCAAAGTTAGTCCACAGATTCTCCGACGAGGTGAGGAAACTTGGGGTTTCAAGGAATGGGGAAGTGTGGCCGCAGCATAGGAGCTTGGAGTATTATGGGAGGTTGATGAGCAGCGATTTGCAGCGGCAAAAAATGAAACTTGGTCCTCAGTTTCAGCTTCTTTTCCCTTCTGAGGGTAGCAAAACGATGCCCTTGGGAAATGACTTTGGATGGTCCGTTACCTCCGTTTCATTTTACGGCACACTTTACTTTTCAGTCTGTCTATAAAAAATGCATTTTTTAATTTAAAAGTAATTTAACTTTAAATTTTCTATTTTACCCAAACGTCTGTATCTTGTTCTACAAAGTTTCAAATAGTATTTCTTTTTTAAACTTCGTGCCAATCAAACATAACGAAATAAAATGGAATGGAGGGAGTATTTATTTTGATCTTAGTGTTAAAACAAAGCAGTTCATAGAAAATACTGTTTGATGATTAATGATGTAACTTTCTAAAAAAGGGTTGTGAATGTTGTTAACTTTAATCAGTGTGTATTTAATTAAGACTTTGTTGTGATTCTAGCCTGTAACTATCTAACAGGATTATTATAGTATGTCCATTGGGAATTTTAAAATTTAGGTGTTTTGGAAGCATTAATGAAAAGTAAATGGGTCATTAAAGAATATGGACTATCTCTCTTCTAACTATACGGTCTAAAATTGGGTTTTTAGTCAAAGTAGATGGAAAAATATTGGTAGTACTATTTTGGGGATGATGATGTGACATTATTTTGTTTGGAAGCTTTGGGATTTTTGTTAATTTTTAAGTGTATTTAATTAGGACTTAATTGAATTTGGCTTTTACCCGTCGGACCAATTTATTGTTTGTTGCTAAAATAGAAACAGAAATTTAAGTTTGGAAAGCATTAATGGAAAGTCGATGGGTTTTGAAAGAATATCATTTCATGGATGATGGCTATGTATGTACTATGGAAATATTTACTTGTTCCATCGTAATTGGAACATTTTGCTTGTGTAGGTTATGAATTAGCCCATAATGATCATAACTAAAAACTAGTCCATAATCGAGTTTTTCTGTGATCTCTCTATTGAAGAATACACCCATAATGATCATAACTATTCCCTCCATTCACTTTTACTTGTCCACAATGGACTTTGCCCTCCCCTTGAGAAATAATAAATGAAGTATATTTTCTACCATAATCTACTATAATAATAATTCTTGAGCCGAAGGCCTTTCGGAAACAGGCTCCCTACTCTCCGGGTAGTGGTAAGGTCTGCGTACACTCTACCCTCCCCAGACCCCACTTGTGGGAACTTACTGGGGGTTGTTGTTGTTGTAATACCCATAATAATAATAGTAGTATTTCAAAATGTCTTGAGAAATGATTTGGGCAATGAATAATTAATGACAAGAAAAAGAAGTTGTCTTTCTCTTGATTTGCTAAAATGGATAAGTAAAAGTGAATATATTTTTAGTACAATGGACAAGTAAAAATGAACGGAGGGAGTCAATCTGTCTATTGATGAATATACTAGATTAACATATGCTAAAAAGGGATGAAGTGGAGTAGTCGGGATGGAATAATATGGTGGGACTATGCATATATCAGCTGATAGAAGAATTTTGGGGTTTGGTTTATGTATGTTCTCTTTTGGTGGTGAAATGTAGGATGTTACTGATTTTTTCCCCTGAAATTAGTGGTTTCAGCTTGAATGTTAAAAAAGAAAACATGGTTACGGGTTCATCAAATGAAGGTTTCAGTGTGCGTGAATTGCAATTTTTGGCCCATAAGGTTTGACGCAAGTTCGAATTTGGTGCTTAATTTTATTCTTTTCTGTTTATTACATTGTAAGAGTTGGCATTCCGGGTTATATGAAGATCTTAATCCAAATTTATGCAATTTTGCTCAGGTTACATTACATGTATATTGATATAGGAACCCCATCTGTTTCTTTTCTCATCGCACTGGATGCTGGAAGTGACTTGCTTTGGGTTCCATGTGAATGTGTACAATGCGCTCCTCTATCAGCCAGTTACTATAGCAGCCTGGTATGCAATACTAACCGAGATTGTTTATATCACTGTTATAAACGTGTGTTGCTAGTTTCTTGCTGTTAGTGACTGAAATAGTGTTATAAATGATATCTTTCTTTGCTGGCTTCAGTTAGGTGGTTTGATTTCCAAACCACACTACAAAATTATTTATCAAGTTAATACAGCACACTAACTTTTTGTATATCTCTGTACTTTGACATTTCCCCTAGACCCCACTTTGTGGTATTTTACTGGGTTTGTTGTTGTTGTTGTTGTTGTTGTTGTTGTTGTTGTTGTTCTGTACTTTGACATTTGGACTACGATAGAAGGATAGAGAATATGGTTGTTTGTTGTGACTCACCTTTGGAACCTAACACCATTCCCTTTTGAGCTCTCATTCAAGTCTTACCAGAGTTCAATAATATTTGGTGAAAAGGTTAAAATGTTTCCATTGGAACTTATAAAGTGCCTATTCTAAACCTTCAGTGGTGAGAGATCATGTTCACTAGGTGCTTTGGTGATTTCTGATTTTTCTAATGCTTTAGGAATCATACTAAGCAGTTAGAAATTTTGTTTCGCTCTTTCTCTCAAAAAAAGCTGTTTAAATCTTAATGTCAATTACTTCAAAAGGAAGAAAAAGCCTTAATGTCAAATACCTCGGCATTTTAAGACTCACAGGAACTTGTAATACTTTAATTACTAGGTAGACAAGGTCACATACTGCATTAGTGAATGTTTATTGTTTATTCAGAATTTCTAAATTTCATAGTAGACTTGCTATAACTGAAAATATAGGGCCTTTAGTGGTTAAATACCCCTGCCTATAATCAGCCTTACTTGTATACTTCTTTATTCCTATTTGTTCATTTGGTTTCTTAGTCTGTCATTTGTCTTTTAATTTCTTGTTCTTTTGGTTTTAGTTGATAGCTGATTTATTATGTGACTATTTATGCCACCAAATCAAGTATCGCAGTTACTATTTTGAGATATCTGAAAATAAGGTTCTCTTCCTTAAACTGAAGTTTTACTTTTCAATATTGAATAACAGAAGGGTCCAAGGCCATTTCAGGTACATAATCAGTATCACCTATTCCATCGAATATGATCCTTACGTTCATTTAGTTTAGGCCTACAGTAGACAGAAACATTGACTCTAAGAGTGATAAAGAAGGCAGTTTGGGTCAACTTGAAATGGGTTGAGTAAACTAACAGCTCATGACCCAACCCAACCAGTGGTTGTTTTGGTCAAGATAGGTTGGGTCAGTTTGGGCTAAACAATGGGTCATGGACCAACCTGTCTAATTCAAAATCATTGTTTTGTTTGTTTGCGACTTGCATTTTTCTCTACCCTCCCAGACCCTAGTTGTGAGATTTCACCGGGTATGTTGTTGTTGTTTTGTTTGTTTGCCTTTTTCTAGTGCAAGACAACAACTCGCAAATGATATTGAACAAAATGTACAAATTTCTGAAGTATCCATTGTAAATAATGAACTGCATGTTATAAGTTCAATAGAACCGGAAAACAATGTAGAAAGATAAGATGACATAATACTGCATGAAGACATATCTTTCAGGTTTGCTTATCTGAAGCCTATTCTGTAGGAATCTTTTTTCCTTTTATTCTCAGTTTTTCAACTAATCTGTTTCTCTGATCCCTTAATGTACTCTAGGGGTGTCAAATCTAGCCCATATTAGTGTAACCTGACCAATTGATAAAGTATTGATTGGTCAAGTTGGGGACAACCCAAGTTGACCAGGTTGCACAAGTTGAACACAGAAGAAAACTTTGTTAAAAAGCAAACAAGTCGTTGGTTTAGTCTGTGTTCATCTACTCTCTGTATATATAAAGAAAAGTTATTCTATTTGATTAGTAATTAAATGAGATTATGGTAAGTCCGAATCTTTTTCTTGGAGTTGCTGGCTCTCCTATTAGAAGAACCTTAATCCCATCCTCTAGATAAATATCAGTTACTGTGGATGTAGATGTAGAGTCTTTGCTAATGCAGCCTACAGGTTTAGCACTTATATCAGATGATTGATTGGCAGGTGCTCCCTGGTAATTGGGGCATCTATTATGCAGGATAAAGATCTAAACGAGTACAATCCATCCGGCTCAAGCACAAGTAAGTTCCTGTCATGCAGCCATCAGTTATGCGAACTGGGTTCAAATTGCAAAACCCCTAAGCAGCCTTGCCCATACACTGTGAACTATGTGTCAGATGATACATCCACATCTGGAGTGCTCGTGGAAGATATCTTGCACCTTGCATCAGGCAGCCGTATGGCAGCCAACAGCTCTGCTAGAGCTCCAGTCATTTTCGGGTGTGTGCCATTGAATTGCTACTTGTATCTTAAGTTCAAATAAAAAATTTCGTGCACGGGACTAGTTTCACATGGTTCTGTGTGCAAAAAAAACTGTAATAAGCAGTTCTAAATTCTTTTTCATGTCAGATGTGGTAGTAAGCAAACTGGTGGTTACCTAAATGGAGTTGCACCTGATGGTCTTTTGGGTTTGGGACCTGGAGAAATTTCAGTTCCTAGTCGTCTTGCAAAAGCTGGTTTAGTCCAAAACTCCTTTTCTCTTTGTTTTAAGGAAGATGATTCAGGAAGGATTTTCTTTGGAGACCAAGGGCCTGCTAGCCAGCAGAAAACTTCCTTCTTGCCTTCAGATGGACAATTGTATGTAAAATTGTGAATTTCGGAGACTTGCTTATTAGTTTGAGCTGTATTTGTTTGTTTACCTCTACTGTTGTCTTGCATGTATGGTTTGTTAAACTCTCTGTTGATTAACATAATGAGTGATTCATGGTCCAGTGTTACTTATGTTGTTGGGGTGGAATCATGTTGTGTTGGGAGCTCCTGTATTGAACAGACAAACTTCAAAGCCATTGTGGATAGCGGGACATCCTTTACATTTCTCCCAGATCAAATTTACGATAGAGTCGTTAAAGAGGTAGGCTTACAACTATTTGCTGCTTATTGTACTTTAAAGTGCTGTATTTTTACATGTCCTTTTCCGGTTACAGTTTGACAGGGAAGTGAATGCTTCAAAAGCTAGCTTTGAAGGATATCCTTGGCAATATTGCTACAAATCCAGGTAATGGAATATAAGAGAAAGACAGATCTACTTTCTTTTTTCTGCCTCATTATATGTACTGAATGCGTATTTGAACCTAGACAGTTCTGAAGGGTTACCAAAGATTCCTTCATTTACTCTGAAGTTCATGACGAACAGCACTTTTATAGTCCAGGATCCTGTATTTGTGATTTATGGCAGTCAGGTAAGTTCTTGAATGTACTCCATCTGTGTTTTAGCTCAGAGATGAACTTTGTTGTTCTTTTGATTACATGTAAATCTGTGGTGCGTCCTATTTTTCTCCTGGTTATTTTATTATGCGCTTTTGCTCCTTCACTTCCAATCATTCATGAATTAGTTCAATATCANCTTGAATATACTCCATCTGTTTTTTAGCTCAGAGATGAACTTTTTGGTTCTTTTGATTACATGTGCGTCCTATTTTATTTTTCCTGGTTTTTTTATCATGCCAGCTTTTGGTCCTTCACTTCCAATTAATTTTGAATTAGTTCACTATCGTGATGTAGGGTGCTGTTGGATTTTGTTTAGCTGTGGAGCCTTCGGGCATAGATATCGGAACGATTGGACGTAAGCCTGACTCTCTTCCCCATGTGGTTTCTTCCTTCTGTATGCAACTGTAAATAATTTCCACCTGCAAAGGAAGGGGGTGAAACTGTAATGCAAAAGTGATATTGCAATTTCCTCTCTCAATTTTTGGAAGTGCTAACAATCATTTTCCTGTACAGAGAACTTCATGACGGGATATCGGATGGTGTTTGATAGAGAAAACCTGAAACTGGGTTGGTCACTCTCTGACTGTAAGTACCAATATCCGATCACTAATTGTTTTGGTTTGCTCTGGATTTAACTATAACTGCTTTCTTGTCTATACCCGTGGGTGATTAACTTAAATGCTATTACTCGTATTCTGTTACTTCACTCCTAAAAACCTATTCTTGTGTATTGAGAAGTTGAACTGCAATTTCTTACACCCAGCAAGAGTCAATGTGATATACATAAAGCTTGTTCGCAGTTTCACCAAAAATTAATATTGTACATGAACTATGGTCTTCCAGATACTATTGGCTTTATTAGATGAACATATAAGAGGAAGTTTTCTCTGGTCATGTTAGTATCTGTATTTTGAGTCACTTCGTCAGTTGCTTCTATGCTCATCTTAAACTACTTGTCTCTATCCTGCTGTTTCTTTGTCGTTTATTAGTCTTCATTGCTCACTGCATCAGCCTACTTGGTGACTCTGATGTTTAATTTCCCTTGGACACTTAGTTAATAGCTGCACAAATAGGAGGAAGATATAAACTAATCAGAAAAAATTGATAAGGTGTGGTGCCTGCGAGAAGGGTTCAGAGTTTAGTGGCAGGTCGCAGGTAGGGAAGATACCTCCGTTCTGTAAGGGTGGGTAAGGAAGGTGTTTGGAAGATCTTACTGATTGCGATCCCCTAGTTTTAAGAATAATTAGCTACACTATATCTGTCATCTGGAGTATGTGATGGGGTGCGGCTTGCAGCTAGTCTTCCAGTAAAACTTGCTTTCTACCTTCACGTCTTTCCTTTGTTATTATTTTATCTTGCTTCATTACTCATTCCAAAAGTGAAAAAGGGGCAGAAAAATGCTCCTTGCCAGTTGATGATTTAACCCTACTTCGTTTTCCAATTCTGATTATTTGGATGTCTGATTTGAATCTTTTGCATGTTCAATTGCTTGTCAGGTCAAGACCTTACTGATAGTAATAGACTGCCAATGACTCCAGCGAATGGTAGTTCACCAAACTCACTGCCAACAGACCAGCAGAATTCCCCTAATAGCTCCGGAGTTGCACCTGCTGTTGCTGGAAGGACACCCTCGAAATCTGCTGCACCAACTAATCGTCGAATCTCATTCAAGTTATGTTTAACGAAGTTGCTGTTTCCATTGCTTCTCGTGTCAAGTAACTTCCGACAATCCATGTATACATTGACCTTATAAGCTTGATAATGGTATGCCCTATAGGTTCATAATATGTGTAGTTTTTCCTGTAAATCCTGTCTCCGTCATGTGGAGCCGTTTTTGTTTTCTTATTCCCCATCCCGCGCTCCTCCCCCACCCTTTTTTTTCCGGGTTTATTGTGATTTTGTTTATTAGTCAGATAGGATGGGGCTGCTAGATGAAGAGCTTGTTTTATGCATCTTCTAACTTTGGATGTTTAATTTCTTATTCCCTTATCAGGTACTGTTATACATACGTAATGCTCACTTCTGACTTCCATTCATATGATTCTAATAAACTTGTCTATTTGCCGCTTTAGCCCTAATATGCAACTACCTACTCTTCCCGTATTCAGTTAGTAATGAATTTGATATTACTTGAAAATCAAAAGTAACACTCCGTAGTAACTTCAGTATGGTATATATTCTTATACTATCTAAATGTGGCTAGTGAAATTAAAGGTTTAAAAAGGGAGGGTTTAAGCATGTAGGCAATTATCGCATTTTGGAAGTAAATGCGTGATTTACGCACACTTGAAAAAGGATCATTAACATGATAGGATTTTTATATTATTTGCTGATTAACTCAATTTTTATCCCTATTAAATATGGATTGGATCAGATATTTTATTCATTTTCGACCTGCCCACGTTTGATCCGACCCGCTCCCTTTTCATGACGTAAGGCTAGTCTAAAACTCGCATGGGATTGTATTCTTTGTCCCGTATATTTAGCAACTTACATTGCAAGTAAAAACTCCCTCGGTAGATATTTTGCAGAATTATGTTAGACCAGTTTTGTTGTGGTGAGATTCCATTTAGCATTCCATAACCTAACAACCTTAGTTGATGCCAAGTATTTATTTATTCTTTTCAATATTATAATGTCATTACTGTCATTGTTTCCTGACATTATAAACATAATGTATAGTCCAAAACGACAGCTTGATTCTTCTTTGTATTATTCTGCAACTAGGAAGACAACAGATTTCAGCATAATGTTTGTATAATATCCTAAAAATGGGAGTTAGTTCAAGAATCCAGACCAGAGCATTAAATAAACAAATACATTAATCATAGTATTTATGAACAAACCATTCCAGTATGTATTATAATGGGTGTACATACAGGTTGTACGAATAATTCTTATCCACAGCTTTCTTTAATATAACTACATAAGGTTAGGGTCTATGCATGAGCTATTGTTTGAGGTGAAGGCTAGAGTATTATGGGCTTACTTTTGGATTAATCATTTTAGGCCAAGGATCTCTTCTGGATAAGTGACCCCACAATTAATACGATTTAAAAAATTTCATTTTTACGATTTAATATAGAAATGATGCAAATTATTTAAGTTGCAGAAGGGTGTGTTTGGTTTGAAGGAAAACATTTTCCAATTTTCCCATGTTTGGTTGGCTTAAATGTTCTGAAAAACGTTTTCCTTATAAACTCATTTTCCTCCAATTGGAGGAAAATGTTTTCCTTATCAAGAAAAGGGAAAACATTTTCCAAAGCTCATTCTCAACCTTTCCCACCCTCACCAACCCACCCCACCCCNTTTAGCGGTTCGAAAGTTTATGAAATTTGTGGGTCCGGAAGGTTGTTGGTTTGAAAGTTTATGCTTCATGTTTATTATATCTAAATTATTTATGAATACTCTTCTGAAGTCATTTTCCTTAATTTGCATACCAAACACCGAAAAATGGATAAGATTACTACTTGTGTTCCAAGAAAACATTATCTTGGAAAATATTTTCTACGGAAAACATTTTCCATTATACCAAACACATCCGAAGTGTCCAAAGATTTAACTGCAGGAAAAGGGAAAAAGGGTAAAAATTGCTTCTTTACAATACAAAATATCTTAATTAATTATATCTTTCTTTGTATTGTGGGGTGACTCATACCATTGCCCTTCGAAAATTGTCTCGTATTTTCTCGTATTTACCCTTAGTCATAATGAAACTCAAGTATAATAGAGACTAATTTTAAACGATACTCGCAAGGAAAGGGTTATATTTGAACTTTTTTGTCGAAGTATTTTGACAAATTGGTCCATCTAATTCATGGTAGAGCCCCGTTAACGTCAAGAGAAAATATAAAATAATTTACTAACGATAAGTTTTGAATAACCCAAAAGTATAATGAAGGATAAAATTAAGGTATTTCTTATCGTAAATGTGTAGATTTGAACCTTTTAACTCAGAAAAAATATTTGTTTTACAACATATTGTATTTGTGAAATGACACTATTTTTTTTTTTTTTTTTTTT